TGCAATCGAGCTTTCTTTTTTTGCATGTGAATAGAGTTCCCCTTGGATAGTTGCATGTGAATAAAGTTCCCCTTGATAGGCTAAGTTCTTTGCTTTGCTATTACATAGGGACGTTATTTATGTTATATAAAGAAGGTAGAAGCGTGCTCGTTATAGAAGGAATGGAATATTGCCGGCACCAATAAAAGAAAAATCTGATTTGAATTGTATACCTACTTACACTACGAACTGTAAGGCCATTAAAACCATTTGTACAAAACGTGGGACTTACATTGATCTGCCTATAATAGTGCCATTCGTCCAATATTTTTCCATGGAACATGTCGTCAGGGCGATATGTGTGGAATCGTTGTTGTCCACGTTCGTTTCTAGTGTCATGTGGGTAGATTTCCATGTTTTGCAAACACCTGAAATCAAGACATAATCATCGAAAAGAGAAACAGTAATATAAACTTACATTCCCATGCCAACGTCTTCGGAGTAATCGAATGGACAAGCTTTGCGATCACCGTAACCTCGTTGCAGGAGCAGCTTCACAGCTGCACGACTTAGTACGTATCCTGCTCCACCACCATTGTATCCTCGAGCCTGAATTTTTCGTAATTTGGATAACGCTGATCTAGTCACTGGCTAATTAACGTTGATTGAGCGAATATAAGCTTTAAGTTTTTTCAAGAATGCAAAAGTTGCATGTTTCAAGCGCCTTATAAGAAGCTTGTAAGTCTGATAGAGATCCTGGCTGTAGCAGCTCCGCTAGGCAAGTCTCTTCAAATAAGGCGTTGTAATAAGACGTGGACCTGTAGGACTGCGGTGGCCCTGGTTGGAAATCTTCAAAATTTTAGATCGTGAAGATAAATATATGTATGCTGACTAAATAATTCGTGGAAATATAGCAACACGAGGGAATGCTTTGCGATCACACAGTGTATTATAATTGTATGGAGGCTATGTGTGACAAACTAAGACTCTAGAGATTGGGTGCTAGGTTATGGGCACTTACTAAATGGGAGCTGGAGATTTCATCTTTTGCAGCAGCAAGAGTTCTAACTAAAACGCTGGACGAAAGATTTGATTCGAGGTTGATAGCGTTTTGGTCACGTCAATCGCACTCAGGAACGATTCTCAACAGAAGTTCTCTAGTCTTGCTTTGAGCCCTGCTTCATGGAACTTATTGGCAATAATTAGGCTCTTCGACGAGGAGTGGAAATCAAGAATGATTCAAGGGTAGCATTTAGTATACAAGACCTGCAAAATATAATATTCTCTCTAGGTGAATCGCATTAGAAGTTTTGAAAACAAACATTTACTGTCATCGAGCAATGCAGTCATCAAGCAATGCCTGCCCCTACACAAACAGAATCACAATGCATTATGCAGGTTTAGGAAGCAAATTAAGTGCATCAAGTTCCAAAGGTCGTTATGTACTTTACACACTCATGAAGCAATCGTCAATAGTCTCTTAAGTGCGCAAGCTTCACACTGAGTTTTTGAGTGCTGAACCTCAGCAAAAAATCCCTTCAAGGGAGTATAAATGCGCAGATTGAGGTGTGATGAACACATTAGCGACCGCAATTGCAATGAGCTCCCTTTACATTCTCTTCGCTGTTCTTCTCGCTACTTCTCAAGTGTAAGTTCATAAAAAATGTAATAAGCGTGCATTGCTAATGCTCTAATGCCTCAACTCTTGCGAAGTCAGTCAAATCGAGATTTTTATCCCGTATTTCAGTTCTCAGGCGTACTTCCCATATGCCGCCTACTTCCCATACGCCGGAGGTACGCTATCTCAAATTTTAGACACTGCAAGCATATTTCTTAAACTTTAGACTACCCTGGTTTCGGTTATTACGGCTTAGGTCACCCATACCATCCATATGCCGCATTTGCTTACGGTGCTTACGGTGGATTCCCTCCTTATGGATACCATGGATATCCGTTTGGCTTGGT